CCAGCGTCAGAGATCACCCAGCGTCAGAGACCACCCAGCGTCAGAGACCACCCAGCGTCAGAGACCACCCAGCGTCAGAAATCACCCAGCATCAGAGACCACCCAGCGTCAGAGACCACCCAGCATCAGAGACCACCCAGCATCAGAGACCACTCAGCGTCAGAAATCACCCATTGTCAGAGAGTGCACAGATGCCCTTGTCTCCTCCACACAACCCTGAAGGCAGGTACAGAGGTCTGGTACAGACATCCTCATTGATGATATCTAAACACTTTGCAAGGCTGTTTTCACATGACTCTTCTAATAGGGTCTTCTTTTTATTTAAAAAGGAGTAATATAGTATATAGTAATATATATATGTGTGTATAAATATGTATGTATATTAATCTCTCTATTATATGAAACAGATTCTAATTTGTCAAATGTTTAAACATTTAGTAAATAGTCCCTAAATCTCCAAGTTACCACCCAAAGTATCCAGTCCTCCAGGATGAGTTGAGAAGACTCTGGCCCTTCCACGTAACTAGAATTCACTCCTCACAGACAACACTGTTCCAGCTGAAGCAGATCAACACCCTCTCACACAGATCTGTTGGCTACTACCTTTTAAAAAGTTGGAGACATCTTCCAGCTGTGGGATGTTGTCTTCCTGATAGCCGCAGTATTTCGAGAGCAGAGGAAGGTTTCTGAGGTACTCCCTGCAGGCGTGGGTCGGGTAGAGTTTGTTCAGCTCTCGGAAGATGGTTCCCCAGGTCTTAATCTCTTCTTCCGTGAATTCAATCTTGGGAATGGGGTCCCCACTAATGAGATCAAAATGAGGGAATTCTGCATTGTAGTTAGGTAGTTACACTTACTTGACTTTCTATTTACTATGCAAACACACGTTATTCCATTATTTTGTTATCTCAAAGTTAGATATGTTGGCTTGTAATATACTTACTGTTTGTAGTTCATAGCCAACTCTGCAAAATACTTTCTTCTTCTGCGGTAGACATTGTCTTTGAAGCCCTGATAATTAAAAGTAATTAAATATTGAAACCAAAAATACTTGAAAATGATATTTAGGAAGCAATTCATTGTTTTGACTGGAGATATCGAAGAAAAACACAATTGTTACCACATGCAAACAATGCTTAGAGATACATGAGCACTTTTATTTCGATGTCAGTAGTTCCATGACAGTTATATCATCTCATGGACACAGAGAGAAATAATATTTTTTATACAAAGATGCCACAGTGAATACAAAGATGAAGGCTGACTAGAGAATGCCATCCTAGTTAGGTACGTAGCTCTTCTCTTACTTTGTTCTCCTTGATCACTTGACTGTATCTTCACTTTTGTTTACCTATGGTCAGAATTGGCAATAAAAAGACTGAGGTGTAATTTGGCAATAGAGAGTCTGCCTAGAACTCTGTAAATAATACTAAAATCAAAGTGAATACTTAAAATAGTGACTTAACTAAACTTCCCAGCAGTGACCCTCAAGCTGTGTCTGCCATGCGGAGAGAGCAAGGTGGAGGACAAAGGGGGTCACAAGAACTTGCCAGAGAAGGAAAACATGCCCAGGATACAAAAAACGCAGACCAAGTCATGCTTCTGGCACTTGTATGGTGCATGGATCGTGTTAAAGACTAGTTCAGGGCCTGCAGATTACAGGGCTGTTCAGGGATTTAGATTTGACCTCAGAGCTATGTTGGTGTTCTCTTAGTCTAACAGCTGTCCTGAGACACACTCATGCATGAAACAGCCGTTCATAGAAACTAAAAGCCATGATCATATTTTTTGCTTGTTTTTTTTTTTTTTTATTTTTAGACAACAACTCACCGTGTTGCCAAGGCTAACCTTGAAACTTGTAATTCTCAGGCTTGGAAGTGGCTGAGACAGCAGGCATCTGTCACTGCGTACATTCTTACCCTCTAATTTCATGGGTGTATTCAGGGTGGTATGGCCATAGACAATAATGACTTCAGAAAAATTGTGTCATCCCCAAAAGAAACATCATACTAGCTATCTCTTCCTCATCCCCTCCCAAACCCATCCTCTGCCGGCCAGGGATCTAGTCTCTGCCTCTGTTAATTACCTCTTCTAGATACTTCAGGTAAATGGAATCATAAAAATGAGGCCTTTTGTAGCTGGCTTCGCTCAAGGCTCACCCATGTTGTCGCATGGTATTTCATGCCTGTTTCATTTTGTCTTGGGAGACATATTCTTACTATGTTCCCCAGGCTGACCTAAAACTAGTGGTACTCCTCCTGCCTCAGATTCCCGAAGTTCCCACCTGTTGTGCCTTTGTATGACCAGTAATAGTCCACGGCCTAGCTCTGCCTACCGTTCGCTGTCTGTCTGCTCATCAGTTTGACGGACACTGTACTGTGTCTACCATGCTATGTGGACAAACCACTGGTGATGTGTGGAAGAAGAGAGAAAATGGTCATATTGAGGCTTCCAGTCTAATGATTTCAAGCATGTGTGTGAAGGTGGCAAGGCTGGAGGCAGGGAAACTACTGAGAAATGTGGCAATCATGATAAATTAGAAACAAATTTAAAAGTATGAGGGAGGTAAACACCCTTAGTAGTAGACAGTGTGTAAAACTGGTACTCACCTTTCTATTAACATGCCCAGGGTTTCTCACCTCAGAACCTTTGCTCACATTGTGCCCTGCCCCACCCCACTGTCTTTTCTTTCCATCTCACCTGCTGAAATCTTTTGGGATCCAGCTGAAATGTCACCTTTCTCTGATGCCTTCAGCCAGAAACATTTGCTCTCTGGTGTATGTTCGACTTGCTAGCGTCCTCTGGCACATTTTGTACATTTTATCTTGCAATATGTTAAGACATGCTCGTCCTCAACTAGGCTGCAAATAGCTACTTGGTAAGATTATCAGGCAAACAGACAGGTCCTCTGGAGGCTGTCTAAAGTGATGCTGCATGGCCACACTCATGCAGCCCAGAAAGCAGGAGGCGCTATTGTGCAGGCCAGATCTGTGAGACTCCACAATTGCATTCTCTCTTCTTCCCTCCCTAGAACCCAGTCCAGGGCTCTGGGTTCCTGCTCTTGAGCTCATGGCTGTGCTGTAAAGTTCTCCAAGGAAAACAACTTCTCTGGTCACCAACAGTCTATCAGCCAATCAAACCAGACAGCATGCCAGTAGGGGTTTATCTGACTCCCTTTAGTGCATTTCAAACACCTGGGTCCATTTTAGCAGGAACTGAGTACAAACACACTCAGCTGCGCGGCTCTGGGCATAGCTTTATAACGGAATGCTAGAGACAGGGCAGATCTCGGAGCCAGTGAACTAGATATTTTGCTGTCTGCTGGCTCACTTCTACCTCTGCGGAGAACTGCTCCTGCTAATCCCAATTCCAACAAATTCTGTTTAGTTCAGAAAAGGGATTTTCCCACAATCAAGTTGCCCTTGTTATTTTGGGGACGGAACAAAACAGGGCAATTGAAGTAAGTATAGTCAAAATATCTTATATATGCATGAAATGTCACAATGGATCTCAGTATTTTGTATAGTTAATATATGCTATTAACTTGTCTGAAAAACAGTAATTGCCCCTAGTCCTAGGGAGATGACTTGGCCTTTACGAGCACTGACTGTTCTCGAGGATCCAGGGTTTGGCTTCCAGCACACACATGGTGTCTCACAGCCATGCATAACTCAAGTTCCAGAGGATTCAGCGCCCTCTTCTGGCTTCCAGGGACACTTCAGGCAAATACATACATGCAGGGAAAAACACCCCCACACACATAAAACTATAATAAATCAATGTTTAAAGTTTTTAAATTGTCCTTAACTTTTTAATTTGCCTTAAAATATTTTTGCCGAAGTGTTTTATTTTTTTATATATTTTTTTATTTTTATTATGTGTACAATATCTGTCTACGTGAATGCCTGAAGAGGGCACCAGGCCTCATTACAGATGGTTGTGAGCCACCATGTGGTTGCTGGGAATTGAACTCAGGACCTTTGGAAGAGCAGGCAATGCTTTTAACCACTGAGCCATCTCTCCAGCCCCCTGCCGAAGTGTTTTGAAAAGATAACTTACAGGATGGTCTGCATCGAGTTCGGACCCATACATCAGCACTCTGTTGGCACAGAAGTCCAGGTCAGAAATCTTCTTTGGGAACCAAGGAACAGTCTCCATAACTGCAAAATAAAACCCCAAAGCCACTGAGGTTTGAGGAGATAATCTTAACCAAAGAGACATTCAGGAAAGTGCAGTGGGGGTGAGACTTGTATATTGATGGAAAATGAATACAAGTGAACTGCTCTACTTCTAGGAATTGTATTTTAATTAAAATCATTAGCTTTACTTTCTTTTTTTTAAATATTTATTTATTTAATTGTTTATTTTATTATGTAAACAATATTCTGCCTGTGTGTATGTCTGTAGGCCAGAAGAGGGCACCAGACCTCGTTACAGATGGTTGTGAGCCACCATGTGGTTGCTGGGAATTGAACTCAGCACCTTTGGAAGAGCAGGCAATGCTCTTAACCACTGAGCCATCTCTCCAGCCCCTAGCTTTACTTTCTTAAAAAATTAATCTTCAGGTTGATTTCCCAAGTGCTAAAGAATACTGTTCTTAAGTAACAAAACCAAATGTTTAAATGTTTTAACTCACATATATAATTTTCCTGTGAAGGCAGACTAGGATAATGCAACTCTACAGACCAGCGTGCAAGTCCAGGAAAAGCTTTTAATAGCAATGTTTGTTTGAAGTAGGGTATCATGTCCAAATATCTAATTTCTAGATTTAAAAAAATTGCCAGAGGTGGTGACGCATGCCTTTAAACCCAGTACTCTGGATTCAGAGGCGGGAAGATCTCTGTGAGTTGGAGGCCAGCCTGGTCTACAGAGCAAGTCACAGGGCAGTCAGGGCTACACAAAGAAACTCTGTCTTGAAAAGTTTTTATTTAACTATTTCTAATTCAGTATATGTGTGTGCATGCATGCATACATATGAGTATTTGGTGCTAGGAAGGCCAGAGGTGTAGGATCCTCTGGAACTGGAGTCATAAGTTACCTGGTGTGTGTGTGTGTGTGTGTGTGTGTGTGTGTGTGTGTGTGTGTGTGTCTGTGTTTCTTGTGTGATCTGACCTGAGTTAGTGTACATTAAATATCAAAGGAACCATTTAGGATTCTATAAAACTCTTTACTGTGTAGGTGAGGTCAGCAGGTTGCAGATGCCAAGGCAGCCTACCCAAGGTAAGCCTACCAAGGGAGTGGGAACATGGAAGTTAGACCTTCTTCAGTGCTTTGTCCTTTCTGTTTAAGAAGAGAGCTCAGGGACTCAGGGAAGTTGCTCCCTGCCAGCCAGAAATGGAGGTGAATCCAGTTCAACAAGAACATGAAGGCATATGAACAGCAGCCCTGGCCACACTCCAAAGATTGTGATGTAATTTGAAGAGACTCTACTGAATATAAAGTAACAAAATGAATCCATTTGTCTTTTGTTTTAACTAAGTTGTAATGATTTCTTGTCAGAAATGAAGACCTTCACCTCGGTCTGAAATCTCGGAAGGCTCTATCTCACCTGAGCAGGTTTTTGGTGGGAACCTGGTCTATAATAAGTTTCAGATCTCAGATGGCAAACATTGCCAACGTTCCCCCAAATTCAAATAACTGCTTAATTGTCTGGCACTAAAGACAATTAAGGCACTGGAGAGACCTATGAAGAGTGAGGGGAGAGGGAGACCAGGGTTGTGGAATTTGGAAGTGCTTGAGGAGCTGAGAGAGAGCATGAACCTCTAGCCCACGCTTCTCATGTTCAAGGCTTCTTTCATCTTCCATCCTACGTAAAATGCTGCCTCATGATGTCCCCCTAGAATCCTGATTGGCTGCCATTGTGCTTCCTTCACTACTGCTCTATGAGGACTTTAAAAAGACAGAGTTGTTTTTGTCTCCTTATCCTCAAGACGAAGAGGAGGCTGGACAGTCATCGAGAGCGTGCTCTTGGAGGTGGAGCTTTGCCCTCTCAAACATACCATCTTCCTTCCCAGGGAGCTGATCTGGGGAATCCACCGAGAGGACAGTGGTGTGGGACTTCAGCAGGGGAAAGATGTCATTCAGCTGTTCTCTGCTGATGTCGCAGTCAACAAAAATCTCCAACTCTGAGTTCCTTCGATTTGATTTCCGGGACTCGATATGTAACAGATTCACGTGCTTCTCCTGTGTAAAGCAGAGGGTAAAGACTGAGTGGACCCACCTGGGATGCTAACAATCGTTGAGGAGAATACGTTCATTAGCACTATAAACAATTTAACATTTATCAGAATTAGCCCAAATGGGGGATGAAGGTGGGTTTGGTACTACTAATGACAAAATGATTCCCTGCTGCAACATGTAAGATTAAATCAAAGTGTGAAAACTCATCACACCCTTTAAAAGCCAGTAAAGTGACAACCACATGAGGCCCTCCATATGGCCAGGGTTGGTTGGAACTCAGATCTAAGCACCAAGTGCTGAGCTGTGACGGCGCATGCCTAGAGTTCCAACGCTCAAGAAGTAGAAGAATCTGAGTTCAAGGTCTTCTTCAAATACATAGTGGTTTTGAAGCTACCCTGGTTACATAATAGTCTCTCTCTCTCTCTCTCTCTCTCTCTCTCTCTCTCTGTGTGTGTGTGTGTGTGTGTCCATGAGTATGTGTGTTCAGTCAGAGCAAAGTACTGAACCCAGGACCTTGTACATTTTACACTCTTCCACTAAAGTAAATTTCTAGCTCCCATAGACTCTTTCTCAAAAAGAGTTAAAATATGGGCAACAAATGACCAGTGAATCAATGTGTTTGCCACCAAGCCTGAGAACCTGAGTTCAAACCACAAAGTGGAAGGAGAGAACTGACCCCCACACCAACCTCCACATTCACATAGCGCCCCGACACACGAGAGAGAGAGAGAGAGAGAGAGAGAGAGAGAGAGAGAACATTTAAGAATAAATAATTTTTTAAAAAAAATTCAAATATCAAATTGCCTAGATGAAAGAATCTTGGAGAAATTCTCTCAATAAAATTAGTTTTCAGATTGTGATGTTATTGTTACTTTTAGAAAACAGAGGTTTTTCTTTGAAAACTTCATGTATGTCAAAATGATAAGGACAGCCATGGTAACTGTGAAGCAGACTGCTTCCTTCCCTCCCTTTCCCTGTCAGTCTGAGACTGAGTATCACCTGTGCAAGCCCCAGGGGACAGCATTTGAGTATCTGAGGAAAAAGCACTTCAGACACAAAAGCCAAACATGGGGACCAATCACCATCTAGCATCTAGTTGGAGAGCACAGGGAAACACAAGCAGCAGGTTTAGATGCACGGAACCCATCGAAGAGACAAAAGCGTGGGTCCAAGGGAACAGAAGGGGCGGCAGTGCACCTGAGGACGGAACGGAAATGAAGACAGCAGAAGGGAAGGGTAGGCCAAGCTCTGCCATGCTCCACACCTGAGGCTCTCTGAGAAATTGGGCAACATTTAAGAAAGAGCCAGATGTGGTGGCTCACACCTACAGGCACAGCACTCAGGAGGCTGAAGAAGTTCCAGGCCAGTCTAAACTACAGAGCAGAAGACTGGTACTTTCTTTATATTACAGTATGTTGAGATTTTAATCACGTACGGAAATCCTAACAACAAATAAAAATGAAAGGTGATGGAAGAAGAAATAAAGGTCCAGAAGTCATTGCAACACAAATAACAATATAAGCCAGGCTTGTTGGTATAGTCCTGCAATCCTAGCTACTTGGAAGACTGAGGCAGGGGAGTCATGGACTTGAGGGTAGCCTGAATGATGAGAATAATTAGACTTTCTCTCAAAATAATAAGTAAACAGAGCTGAGGATACACCTGAGAGAGCCCTCGCCCAGCATGCTCAAAGCCCTCAGTTTAAGTCCTACTATGTCAATAATCAATAATAATAATAATAATAATATAGTATTAAATTTGGGGAGGAAGGAGTAAAAGAACAAAGGGAGATGGTATCAATATCATTGTTCACATTGAGAACAAGTTAATTCACAGTGCAAGGAGGGGACAGCAGCAAAGCTTGTCTTTTATGACTCATTACGAAAGAAGGAAGAGAGCAACAGCAAGAGGTGGCTGAGGCTCTGCCATGTGGCAGGATCCTTCTCTCGTGTTCTTCGAGAGCATTGTCTGCATGTAAATGTTTAGTCTTTGAATGGCTAACTGATAGGTCATGGAGACAACCCTATTCTATAATGATAGTCAACATTTATCGACTGTTTACTTTGAACAGTTTAACTATCAATTCTTAATGACATGAGGTAGGCAGTGTTCTCTCTTATTTTATTGAGACATGCAGAGAGATTAACTTCAGTGACCACCCAGCTCATAAGGGCTTTGTACACACTCAGTCTGTTCCAGAACCTGTTCAGCCATGTGGTGTGCAAGCACCGTAACATACCCTGTTCACACAGTTTGTTAGAAATCAATTTTTGAAAAAAAAAAGAGAGAAATCAATTTTTGTGTTCCTGTGTCCTTAAATTGTGTTAGAGTCTCCAGTGTCAGTGAGGTTACTGTACCTGGTATCTCTCTCTCTCTCTCTCTCTCTCTCTCT